AAGATGGGAATCTGTGGAGGAGGAAAATGGTTGAAGAAAAGAAAGCACAGACCATTCATTTAGACAATGGAGTTTGGACTAGTGGGATTTACTGTACAAAGTGCTTGCCTGGAGGATTTTTCTGAGCACTCTAAGTTCCTGCAGAAGAGCATAGTTCACTTCAGATCATAAAGGTGGCTCTCAAGTACTTTATCTCCTCACACCATTGCCATTTCCTAGCTTGAAGTCTGATGAATAACACCCTCTTATATTTTTTTTTCCATAGGGTCCACTTCACCCTTTCAATCTTGCCATGTGGAAAGATTATGATTTATCTGCAAAACACTTTAGAATGCCACACCAATATCCCAAAATGAAACGGTGGATATAGTTTAATGAAGTATGCATGTTTCTTTCTCATTTTACGGAATAGTCCTGGGTGGCATAACTAGCACATTGCAATAAATCACCGGGGGGGGAGGGTTGTGTGAGCAAAGGAGTATATTGCAAAAAGGTCTTATTTTCTGGTCTGTGCATTGTGCTCCAAAGACCCTGCCCAGGTCCTCCCTGCCATTAGGCAGACAAGGCTGGCAGCCCATTGTGCATCTCATGAAGGGACAGCACAGTCTTGGTTAATTTGTTTTGATGTCACGGATGGGGAGAGGTCTGTGGTGGTGTTTTTCTTGGTCTCATGCTTCAAGAGGTTGTTCTGTTTGTGTACTGTGTGTGCACCTTGATCAGGAGGAACAATTTGCCCCTGTCGGCAAGATGTCATCATGCAACAGCAATAACACTCAGATGCTAACTTAATTGTATCCTTTGAAAGCAATATCGTTGGCCTCTCAAATTTTAGAACTTTCGAGGCAACTCATATTTTCTTTTTGTTAAAAATGTGGATTGCAAATGTAGAAACACTTACTGTATAAAACAGTCAAACATCCATGGATGCAGTAAACAGATCATGCAGGCAAAACTAGGTATGGAAAAAGAATCAGAGAGAGGAGCTGGCGTGAAGCTAAGTTCTGTTTCAGAAAGTTTCGGTGCTTTGCAGCAAGGACTGGACCACATGGAATAGATAAGTTTTTCACAGGCTAAGCTTTGCTGCAAAGCATGTTGTCCAAGAGTATGGAATCAAACAAGGATTTGCAGTAGGTTGATCAGGATATACTGATGATTTGATGTTGGATGATTTGAAGTAGATTGTCAAGAATCTCTGACTCCCAAATGTATAACACCAGCAACAACAAAATGATGCTCACACACATACCTTCATGAACCTGAAATGAAGGACGTTGGGCTTAGGGAAGTGGTCTTTTTGAAGTGTACATTTATGTAGAGGGATGTAGAGCTATGTCCAATGCAGGTACCCAAAACAAATTCCTGGGCTCAGAATTCTTTGTTCGAAGAGCATCTTTTAGACATCTGCTCACCCCTGGCCTCAATATCTCAAAGGTACATGATTAATAGGCAAATCTCAATCGGGTTTTGCCACATCAGCAGGTGGAGCCAGACGAATGTGGAATTGTTTTCTTCCCTGCAACACCCACTTTGGGGGCAAGGAGTGACAAAACTTTGCAGAAACTTTGAACGGTGGTGACTGAGATAACTTTTTCCCCCCAGTACAAACCTTTAAAAGGCCATTATGCTGACACTCACAATAGCACAAGGTTATACACAGAGATTTAAAAAAAAGAAAGAAAAATTTAGCAGCACATCCTAGAATGACCATGTGATCACACAACATCGTGGATCACGTGACCATGTGGCACAGCACTGGCAAATTAGGGGGGGGGGAAATCTGTATAAAGAATGCACCAAGCGTTTTCAACACACACACAGAGTGGGAAGAGATTTCTCAAACACCTTCTGACTCAAGCAACTGCAGCCTCCACTTCTCTCCAACTTAGCAAGTTTTTTTCTGAAGTTTGTTCCGCAGCCTTTTCAGTTTCCCTCTCTCCCACTTGAATTGTACCCAAGAGATGAGAAAAGCTCAGCGTAGTTCTAGAAAGACCTTTTGTTCTTCTTTGGTTCTATACATTTGCCTAAGGCCCCCAGAAGCGAGGCTTGCATCCCTGTGGCATTTCCCCTCTCACTGTCCCTCTCTTCCCTGTCTTTAGACCCAGAGCTGACACAACAGGTTCTTCTTCCCCCATGCGCTTGCTGCTCAGCATTCATCATACGCCTCTGCCTTGAAGGAGAATTGCCCATTCGCAATACTTCCAAGGTCACTAAGTTACATTAATGCCATATTGAGATACAAGGTTGGTAGTCTCTAGCATGTAAAGCCTGCTTCCCAAGTGCAAATGGAGCAGTGCTGGTTTATGGGGTTCTTATTTCTTATCTGACAGCTTTAGAAGACCTCAGGTAGAGTGTTTCTGCATGCTAGGCTCAATATCTTGCCCTCAGCAAAACTCCAGGGCGGATCCTTGGGAATTCGTTGCCAGCAAAGGTGCTGCTTATATTCTTTTGTGCTGTAACTTCTTCACAGAGCCGAGTGATCATATACTTCATCCCTTTCTGCATCAATTTCAGGGTCATCGTGGGGACTGCTTGGTTATAAACTATCTATGGGACTGGAACTTCTATGCAGAATTCTTAGTTGCGGACTAAAGTCAGTTCAGTGACTGAATTACAGTATATGGAATTTTCCCCCACCCCACTTTGCAATGTGCATCTTGTGTGCTAGGAGTAAACAGTTTGGCTGCACTTTGAAGGGTTTGTCCTGAGCTTTTCTTGATCTGAGAACACATTAACATTATTTCATCAGCACCTGGAGGCTGATCAGGCTTGCCATGGGGCAGCGGGGAAACCAGCAGTGGTAAACTCAGTCACAATCAAGCAACACGAGTGTGCGAGCCCACTAATTTCACCTTCCACTACTACTGTTAAATGTTAATCTGTTCTACTCTATACTTCCCTTAGTTATAGAAAATGAACATATTTTTTTCATTTTTTTAAAATTTGGTGACTGACCTGTTTTGGGATATTGCCTTCTGCAGTATATTGTTTTTCTTGGAGGGAGGATTGATCAGGGTGCCTTAGTTAGCCCCAATACTTCACTTCTTGACATGATATTATATAGCAAGAATCTGTGGTCCTCCATATGCTGCTAGACCACACCTGTAGGCATCCTTCAGTCTCGAGAGAATATGGTAACACACTCTGAATAGAGGTCTTGGAACAGCATTTAGTGTGGTTGAGAAGGCCAGTTTGAGAGTGACAATCCCTTCCACACTGAAGACAAATACAATCTGTCCCCTGTCCAGCTCCCTGATTTTGCTGGGTTCAGGACTGCCTCTTCGCCTCGGCCTGCTCAACAAGTGCCTCTTCAAATTGCGAGAGGCCATGATGCACTGCCTGCCTCCAGGCTGAACGCTCAGATGTCAAGGTTTCCCATCTGTTCAGGTCCATTCCTAAGGCCTTCAGATCCCACTTGCAGATGTCCTTGTATCGCAGCTGTGGTTTCCCTCTGGGGCGCCTTCCCTACACTAATTGTCCATACAGAAGATCTTTGGGAATCCGACCATCAGCCATTCTCACTGCATGCCCAAGCAAACGTAGATGTCACTGTTTCAGTAATGTATACATGCTAAAAATTCCAGCTCATTCTAGGACTACTCTACTTGGAACTTTGTCCTGCCAGGTGATACCAAAAATCCGTCGGAGGCAACGCATATGGAAGGTATTCAGCTTCCTCTCCTGCCGTGCACAAAGGGTCCAGGACTCACTGCAGTACAGGAGTGTGCTCAGGACACAGGCTCTATAGACCTGGATCTTGGTATGTGTCGTCAGCTTCTTATTGAGCCATACTCTCTTTGTGAGTCTAGAGAACATGGTAGCTGCTTTGCCAATGCGTTTGTCCAGCTTGACATCTAGAGAGAGGGTGTCAGAGATGGTTGAGCCAAGGTACACAAAGTCATGAACAGCCTCCAATTCTTGTGTGGAGATGGTAATAGAGGGAGTCGAGTCCACGTCCTGGCCCATGACTTGTGTTTTCTTCAGGCTGATTGTTCGTCCAAAGTCTTAGCAGGCCTTGCTAAAACAATTCATGAGTTGTTGGAGCTCTTCAGCAGAATGGGCAACAACAGCTGCATCATCGGCGAAGAGGAAGTCCCTCATGCACTGCTAGACCACAGTTCCCGTCATAAAGTTGTCACCAATGCTCCTTCCTCAGAGACCCAAATGTGGCCCCCCAAGCAATTGTTTTAAATTTAAAAGAAAATGTTGACCCACGTTGGGGTGCAAGGAAAAGCCTTTGCTTGTTTTTTTTTTAAATAAAATTCTTTTGGGTGGTGTAGATTGTGGGAACAAATGTGGCCTGTGAAGGTCCCGGGATGAGAGTGAGAACTCCCAGGCCTCTATTGGCTGCTCACCCTTGCAATAAAGCATAAGGGGTTTTGATTGAAAGAACCAAAAACCAAGACTCGGTGTCCATTGCACATAGAATCCAGCACTGGCCCAAAGTATCTTGCTGCCTGAGGCACAGCTACAAAGAGTGACCCCCTTCATCTGTCAAAGTATTTAGTACCTTAAACCAGCCAAATTATTTTGGCGCCTAAGACAGGAGATCTTACCCGTGATCATGTCCTTCATAGTACAGTAGTTACAAATTAGACAGTTAAAGATGTGCTGCCCTTTCATGGCAGCCAGCATCTGCTTCTTGAGGCAGTTGCCTCATCCTGTCTGATGGGAAGTCTAGACTTGACTGACCCGACACACTCAAGTGCTCCTAAGACAATACATTAAGGTGGGGTATCCCAGTGTGATGTAGTAAATAGAGTAACAGACTAGAACTCAGGAGGCCTGGGTTTGAATCCTCGCTCAGCCGTCGAAATTCACTGGGATGTGGAACTGATAAAACCACACCTTAAATGCCTCACTTACCTTCAGATCCCTGTTAGGGTCACTATAAGTTGGTTCCAACTTGACCGCACTTAACAGTATCTGCAGTGCAGCTTTATTCACACACAGTCACATACCCACACATCCACCCACCTACACACACACCAATATACACTTACTTTCCCACTGAGAGCGACTGCTTTGTTTGCATTTCATGTTGTGTCAACTTCTCTTGATAATGCACTTCTTATATCAGGCTGGTCATTTTTTTCAAGATTTAGTTCAGGGGAAAAAAGCTCTAATCTGATTCTTTGAAGTTTGGCATGAAAGAGAGAGAGAGAGAGAATATATATTAGCATCCTATCATCTGATGCATGCAAGGTCTGTGCTTCAAGGTCATGCAAAAGTACTGAAATGTTTCCTTAACCTTAAATTATATTCCATGTCTGATGTTCATTTTTGTATCAAGTATGCTATTTTTTCTTGTTGTCGCTCAGATCTTTTTCAAGTGCTGGTTTTCTTTCTAGCAAATGGCCTTGTAATAATAGTAGTAAAAATACCACAGTTTTGTGTTTTCATTTATTATATCTCTGAGTGCACATTTTCTTTTTCTTTTTCTTTTTTTAAATTAGAGTTCTGGTTAAAGAAAGAGCAGTCCATCTTCAGACCTCAAGAAAAGAAGTATTTTAAAATAAGGGGTTGTATAATTCATAGAATGTATTGTATTTCTTTAGCTGTGCATTTAAACTTTAAGTGCTATCTTGTGTCCAAAGTACTGTGATTTCAGACCAAGCAGACCTGGAGACAGAATTAATTTTTCTATCCAGTCAAGTTTCTTCAGACTGATTTCCAACTGATTTATATTAAAATAGTCACCTCAAAGGAAAATACCTATTGGTTCAGCTGCAGTGATACCGCTGAGACTTGTATTCTATATTCAATACTATATTCAGAGAACACAATCATGTTTATTTCTAATATAGTAGGACACCTCCCCAAATCCATGGGGGAATGGTTCCAAGCCCCCCTGGAGATGCTGAAAACAAATGCTTTATATAGCATAGGAAAAAAACAAAACAGAAATAATATTTTCACAGTGTATTTACCAGAACTGGACACTGGAGGAAGCCAGAGATCTTGCTGTGTAGTCTTCAACAACATGAATTCATAACATGGTTATTGGCTCCCTGCGGTGGCTAGTTCTGGTAAATATATAATAAAAATACATATTTCTAGTTTTTCTTTTATTACTTTTAATATTTTCGGACCATGGATAAGTGACTGCAGATACTTATCCTGCAGATAAGGGGGTCCCACTGTACTAGGAAAACTTTGCTCCTGCAGCTCTTCTGCAGCTTGAGTTTCAATTTCATCTGGAAAAAACATCCCCTCCCATTCTCCTGACAACACCAGCACACACACACACCGTGCCTTATATTCACCCCGCATATCGAGCTACGGCTTCTCCAGTAGTAAATCCCTTACCTGCCTTTCTCACTTTCTGGATTGGTAGGTTGAGCAGAATTCCCATGGTCAATTTCCATTTGAGCAAATCAGAGCTAACATGGGGATTCCTCCAACCACCGTGCTTTCACAGTTAGGTCCTTGAGAAGAAGGGAGGCTGTTTGGTGTCCTTTGGACCACACATCACAGCGTAGCTGTCTGAGGAATTTGGGAGCTTGAAGTAAAACAAAACAAAACAAATCAACACATCTCTGTGTCTTTCTCTCTTTTAAAACTAGATCTGAGTGTTACACTTGAACCGCTCACCATGTGTTTCTTGAATAGGATTATAAGAAAACTTCTAGTCCCAAGGTGTGTTTCCTCTTGAATATCTGGTAGATCTTGAGACATGTTTTCTCTTGAATATTAGGTATGTCTCTTGACTTTTGTCTGGGGCTGATAGTTGTGTTCCAGATATGACTCTGAAATGTCACTCATGGTCCTTGTTAGGATGAAGATACCCTGTTTCTTCAAAAATAAGACCTAACGTGAAAATAAGCCCTAGTATGATTTTTTAAGGTGCTCCTAACGTAAGCCCTACCCCCAAAATAGGCCTCAGTTAACTGAAACCCCCCCCTCCACCATTGTGCAGCAACCAGAAGGAGATGACATGACTGTATTTGAATAAATGCAGATTGTTGTACATAAAAAAAATAAAACATTTTCTGAAAATAAGTCCTAATGTGAATTTTGGAGCAAAAATTAATATAAGACCCTGTCTTATTTTTGGGAAAACATGGTATGTACGTAGGCATGGCACCCAGTTTTCACTATGGGTTATTTTTGGATCAGGAATTATGTAGGAAATGAAAGTAACAGAAGTGGGTCAGGTGGTTCTCTGGTGGGAGATCATCTGATGTCACCAGCCGCCTGTGGTTTGTGTGGTGGACCGTCTCATCCTACTGCTGCAGGCGGAGCTACTGTCCCTTGGTCAGACCATGGACCAGTGCTATCTTCTGCCACTACAGGACAGTTGGGAAGACCCAGGGGTAAGAATAATTGGAGTTGGGGTGGTGGAGGAGGATCTTTCTCCCATATAGTTGCAGACAAGCTAACACCTCTGCCAAATATCAGCCAACTAGGCCACCAAGCACCACAGACCTGTACATTAATTTAGGTGTCTTTTCTCTCACCAACTCCTTCAAAATGTTGCGAGGGTGTTTTCTCCTCCCTCCATGTGTCATGCTCTCTCTGCAGTACTGACAAATGCTTCCCACTAGAGAGCCCCTTTATCAAAGGCCACACTGATGACCCAGCTGCAGGAGCAGTCTCCTGTAACAGCTCTCTGTTAAGAGTTCCTATAGAAATAGCTTTTAGAGTCGATCAGCAACTGGCTGTTTGCAGCTGGCTTCTTCATGCAAGGCCAGCCCATAATTTCATTTGTTTCCTTAGTTTGCCATTCAAAACCCAAGGCACAGCAGATTTCCCTTGACCATGAAAGGTACCAAGCAAATGTGTGAGTCTTGACAATGATTGCTCATTAACCTTTTGTCCCAAGGGCAGTAATTTCTTTTTTTGTGGTGAAACCTTGTTGGTAGTGTTGAGAAGGGAAGAACAGGTGGGAAAATAAATGATAGCGTGTATGAGCTATTTGATGGTATATTGGAGTTTTATTTCACCGGTCCAATGACACAAAACATTGTTATTTTCTAGTGTCAAGAAAACGCTGTCTGGGATCAAGAGCTCAACAACAATAATAAAAAAGCAATAGTTTTAGAACGGCTGATCAGTCATCACAGTTTGCTTAAAATGTCAGCCAGTGCCATGCTTTTAGACGAGAGGTGTGCAATATTAACCATAACTGTGTGTGTGTGAACGCAGGATGTAATGCTGTTCGAATTCATAAGCTATGTCAAACTTTAGACTTACGTTAATTGAAGATGCTTACAAATGTAACATTAATTCTCTGCTGCTGTCATTCTGGTGCCTTTATGAAAATCTTCTGTGAAAATGTTTATTGCCTCTTTGTGTTACTGGAACATCTATTTCACAGACTGCTGTTCAAACAGCATTCCTCAGAACCTCCTGTCAGCCATTAACAGGTGTGTGGACTGATATTTGCCCATGTAAATTTCCTTCTAGATGTGGTGCTGAGTTTGTACCTCTGATAAACCCATCAAGCTTTGCTTAAAAATGTCATTTTCTCAGTACAATAGACACTCCTTTTGCTGTGCAGTTTTGTTTCTGCTGTTGTGTTTTTCTGCACTCTCTCTTTCTGCTTCTATCCATGTTAGCCATCTTTAGAACGGTGAAGGGTTGTCGAGCTGAAACTTCCTCAGTCTCATAGGGGGACAAAAAGATGGCAGGGAGGGCAAAGATGAACTATTACATAGTCCACCACAGAAGTTAAAAATTAGACTAGGGTATGAGGTTATTTTGTACCATTGCTGATGTATGTAAATTAGAGGGGGTTATTCGTATTTGTATACGGATACGAATACCCCCGCACAGGTGGAGATAACGAGGTTCTGGCCCCATGGGGCCGGATGGTCCACTCACTGATCCGCCGCTGCTACGGGCATCGCAATCCCATCCTATCACTCCAGAGCTCGCGATCGGCTAGCCACTCCTGGCAGGAGGCGGGATGACAAGCCTCTCTGCAGGGTCGAAGAGTGGCTTGCTGGTTGCGAGCTCTGGAGGGATAGGATGGGATTGTGATGCCCGCAGCCATGGCAGATCAATGAGTGGACCATCCGGCCTCATGGGACCAGACCCTCGTTATCTCCACCTGTGCGGGGGTATTCGTATCCAAATACGAACACCCCCATCTCTAATGTAAATCTCTTGAGGCACCAAATGAATTAAAATGTCTGAAACAGAATTCTCACCCAGTTCTTCTTTCTCCTTGACTATAAAACCTCATGGGTTTCCTCTGGGTGCCGTTACATTTTGGTAAAAAATTCACAGGGGGGGAAAAATGAACAACGCCATGTTTTCTGCTGAAGATTTTTTGTTGCCCATGTGTTTTGCCACAGGGATATCTGTACCAGTCAAGATGATTCTGTTGCTCTGGGGACACTCCAAGCAGAACAGCCTCACGGAGACAAAAATAGTCCTAAGAGTGAGCAGCATATGCCCATTCTTCCTTCAAAGTGTTATAATTTAATGTGCTTGGCCTGTCAACAAAATTGCGCACGGTTGCTCTGCATAATATATCTTTCATCATGAATATATAATTTTTGGTTCTCGTGCTTGGAAAGAAAATGTGAAAAGTTGCATCCTCTCTGTTCATTTTGGATGCTGTTGTTCTTAGATGCTACTGTGAGCACCAAGGGTCTCCTAAAAAAACACCTGAGGTTTGAACAGAGAGGTTCCAGGTGTAAGCATACTCCTAAAACAGCTGAGCTGAGTCTGGGTACCCAGCCAGGCAGTACCACTTACTCCTTTTCCCAAGTCCATTCTAATTAGCAATTAACTGAGGAAAAACAAAGACAGAAATCATGAGTTTTGGAGTCTGCCAAGACGAACAAAACTCAGGCTAATAATGGACTCAAGTAGCGTATCTGTGGCCTAGCAAATAATCTTGCAGGTTTACTGTTCAAAAGACCAAACATTGGATTTTAAGAATTATTGTTTTATTAGAAAAATAAAGTATTTAGAGATATTCAGTTTGTTGCAAAAGCATAGCATTCAAGTACATTTCCATAAATCAAAGCAGTTAGAACTTTAGCAAATTCCAGCTACAAAAATAAAATAAAAGCTCTAAAAATAGCTTAGAAGGTAGGCTACGCATAGCTCCCCTTTCTCTATCCTTACTCTGAACTACATCCTAGCATAACAGTAAAAACTAATATTTGGAACTCAAAAATCCATACTAAAAATCATTCTAAAATCCAAGCTTTAAATCAAGTCCTCTCTCTGTCTCCATTCTCCATTTTCCACAGGATGTGCAGGTGTTGTTGACCATCGTCCTGATGTTGTGTCTTGACCCTTATCGTCTCTGGCCAAGTCAGCTTCATGGAAAATTCCAGCTCGCTCTAGGAGAAAAAGCTTCTCGAAGCATCCAGTCATGCTAACACAGAGCAATATGGATTCCTTCTACACAGTTCCATGACTACAAATCCCATTCATAAATCACTTTTTAGCCTTAATAACCTAAACCATGACAGCTACTGTTAAATTGTTTCTGAGGGTGGGATCACACGGGCATATAGCGTACATTTTGGGGTGGTTGTGGCCCCATCCAGTGTATGCTCTTTCCCGGTGATCACATAACATGTGAGAAATAGTGCTCCAGCTCAACGCTGATCCATGACCAAGCTGCACCTTTTTTGGTCCAGCAGTAGGACTTGTGCTTTTTGAAGCCAAACTGGAGTGATGGGCAGAGACCAAGAACGATGCTGGCAGATTTGTAAAAAAAAAAAAAAAATCATAAACAAGTGGTTACTTTAAGTTATCATGATTTTAATTAACCATATCTGTATTTTAAACAATTGTGACGGCTTTTAGCTAATACAATAAACTTGAACTGACTGGTTACTTTAAGGGAGATTGCTCCTTGCAAACAACACTGTCAGGACACACTTTTCTTGCCATCAGATCCCATGTTGACTTATGAATCATTGACTTCCAAAAGGTCCTATCATTAACAGCCCTGCTCAACTTTTTCAAACTCAAGGCCACGGATTCCTTTATTGAATTCATTCCTCTCGTGTTTGGTCCTTCCGTGTTCCTGCTGCCTTAAACGTTTCCCAGTGTTCTGTCTAGTGCTTCTGTTAGCAAGTCCTATGGGCACAATGGTTAAACTGTAGTACTGCAGTCAAGTCTCCGTTTACCACCCGAGTGAGCCTCATAGTGCAGTGGTTAAACTTCTGTACTGCAGCAAAAACTTTGCTCACAACCCAGGGTTCAACCCCAGCTAGCCAGCTAAAGATTCACTCAGCCTTCCAGGGTCAGTAAATCCAAGGTCAGCTTGCAATGTGTAGCCTGCATCATTAAATTGTGAACCACTGAGATAGTGCTTTAAGTGCTATGGAGGGTATATAAGTGTTACGGTAGCTTGGAAACCACCTGTCCGTCATTGCTGTAGTTGCATGTCATCTGCCAATAGCGTGACGGAAGGTGGGACATAAGGGGTGGAGCCAATGTATATAAGGGGAGTGAATGGGTGTGAGTGTTTCAGATAGGGACAGATAGGGACCAGATAGGGACTGGTTAGGGAACGGTTAGGGTGTTAGGGTTTGTTCCTATTGTGAAGAACTGTGCTATATAATGAGGGTCTGTGAGAGAGTGTGTGAGTATGTGGTACTTTATTAGTTATTGCCTTATTATTTGAGTGATTAAAGTGATTTACCATTCCTTTTGTTATAACCAATAAACACAAGTTTTTATTTTCAAAATCATTTATTAGTCTGAAGAGTCATTTGAGAAAATGGTTGGTGGCAGCATGAATAGAGTGTGTGAGAGTGTCGTGGCACCTCCTTTGTGACGTGTGAGGAGGCTGTCACAATAAGCATCATACTTTTTTTTGCTTTTTGAGTTTTATCCCAATGTCTTCAGGTAGCCCGCTCAAGGTTCCCTCAGCCTTCCATCTTTTCAAGGTCACTGCAGTAAAATGAGTACCCAGCTCGCGGGGGCGTGTGTGTGTGCAAAGTGTTATTTGTATAATTGTGTAAACCACCCAGAGAATGCTCTAGTGCTATAGAATGGTATATACTGTAAGTTGAAACAAACTATAAATGAAGCAAGCTGCTATAGAAGCAGAATTTTTAAAACTGGCGCTGTGCATATAATTCTGTGCTTTTCAGACATTGTGCATACTATTGTGGGCCCACTTGTTGGTGAGCAAAGCTTTCTCATGAACAATATGATACAGTCCATAAAAAAAGCTTTTAACTCGGGATTGGCAAAGTCTTTTCAAGAATCATTTGTTGTTCTTTTTGTCGTTAAGTTGTGTCCAACTCTTTGTGACCCTATGGGGGAAACTTGAAATAACACTTTCAAGAATCATACATTTTAATAAACATTCAGCTATGTCAATTTTTTCAAAAAATTAACATTCAGACTGCAGATCCAGAAAAGAATGACCTCTGAATCAGAGAAATTTAGATCTCTCTCTCTCTCTCTCCCTCTCTCTCTCTCTCTCTCTCTCTCTCTGTGTGTGTGTGTGTGTGTGTGTGTGTTTGTAATAATTTTCTGCTTTACACAATACAAAGCTGGGAGGCTAAAGAACAACGGAATACACTCAGG